ACAGAATATAGAAAATTATTAAAATTTATCCCTTGGTTGTTTATTACATATTCTACTATTAATCAGTGAAACAGAACTAAGAATAAAAGGAGTAAGTGTGACAATACTATAGAAATCTAAAATATTATCTTTAGTATTATCATTTTCTGGTAGCAGGAATAAAGATTTATTTTCAGATAACAATCTGACATATAAAAAAACTGTGGTTTAGTTTTAGAAAATAAATGTCGATTACCAAGTATAATTAAGTTAATAATGTATGATATGTTATATACACTGTGAGCAATGTAAAGGAAATTCATTTCAATTTAGAGCAATATTCAAAGACAGTTTGGATCTAAGCCCATATTGTAAACTCCTCTTAGCTACCATTTTTTAAAAAATTAAGTTTCTAGGGATATACTTATCTTTGTTAAATAAATAAGTTTTAATAACTGAAAATCATCAGCAGTTTGGAGTCCCCTGTGAAAAATAAAAAAAAAAATTCTAAAACTAGTTATCATTCAAGCTTCCCAAGATTTCTCTTAGCCTTAGTTTTGAGGCCTAGAGCCAGGTGTGATCTCTCAGTACTTTCTTGAGTCATTCCAAGTTAGTTCTCAAAAATAGGTTTATTAATTATCTATTCATTCACTTATCAAAAGCAACAGGTCAAGAATACCAAAGTTGTCAAAAAAAAGTTGACAAACATTTTCTTTTTCTTGAATAACTATACCTAGTTCTGTGTTGAAGGAAATGCCCATGGGTTAACTATTTTGTGAATAGCAAATGTCAATGAGAAGAGTGACCATTTATTTTTCTAAGCAAATTTTTAGAATATGTGGGTATATTGGAAAATTAGCAACATAAAGATTCTAACTTCTCAAAAAGTCTAGCCTATCTCTGTTTCTTTCTTCTCCAGTGCCGCTGTAAGACCTATAAGACAACTTGTACTTGACCCTAGAGTAACTTCATTAAACTTATTCACAATATACCATTAATAAATTAATTTTATATGTGTATGTGTGTGTGTTACACTCCAGATACTGTATAAGGGAGTTGCAAATCAGTACTTGTGTGCATAGTGCTTTCATTTTGATAGAAGACTACAATACATAGATAAACAAATAAATATATATGATTTCCAATAGGGATTGTTTTATGGGAAAATAAAGGTTGGCAAGGTCCGTTTACCTTTGGTCATGGGAGTGTTTTTCTCCAGCCAATATAACAAAATTTAAGGGAGGTTTATCTGATAATGTGGAATTGCAGCAGAGACCAAGTTAAAGTAAGGTTTTGAACAATGAGTTTTTCTAGGAGAAGAAATTTTTAGGCAAAAACGAGATAAACCTTGGGCCAAAAGTTACATGGATTAGAAGGTCAGAAATCAAGAGATAAGAGAGTAGGTAGGAGAACAGTTAAGGTCATAGATGCAGAAGGAGAGTAGACAGGGCCTGTAGAACCTTGTGGACTACTATAAAGTGTTTGAATTGTGCTTTTAAGAAGTTTTAAAAACAATTAACAGACCAGGAGCAAGGTGTGAAATGATATAATTTACAATTTGAGAGGGTAGCTCTGACTGTTAGCTTTAGAATAAATTCCCAGGACATAGAAGGAAAAAGATCAGTTAGAAGTGATTTCAATAATAAGTGTTAACTGAATTCAGCCTGACAGTGTGGCAGGACCCAGGGGGTAAGAATGGAAAGATTCAAAATGCATCTGGACATTGGAGCTGACAGGATCTATTGGTGTCTGTGGATGGATTAGAGGTGGAGTAGAAAAAAATGAGATCAATGAATGATGATGCCAAAATTTTTAACCTGACACATAAATAAATGAAGTTTTTACTTGCTGTGATGGAGATTACTGTCAGACAAGTAGGACTGGAAGTAAAACCACAAGTTTAGCTTTGAAGATGTTACATTTGAAATGTTGAGTAGGCAGCTTGATATCTATATGTGAAGCTCAATAAAAAGGTCCAGAATGGATATATAGATTTGAAAATCATCGATGTTCAGATGACATCTAAAATCATGAGCCTCGATAGGATTGCCCAATAAGTAAGAGGAAAAAAGGTTTATGACCAGGATGAAAACTAGGTTTTATGGAGCTTGAAGCTTCACAATTTTGCTGATTATTTTTGATAAAAATATTAGGCAATTAAAATAATCAAGTACAAAGTTTTGAAGGGGTACTAACCGTATCGAGAACTCCAAAGCTTGAATTTTGTTAAGATCATGGCAAATCTGCTTGAGGTTGGAGAGTTGGGGGCTAAGTAGCAGAGTAGACTAAGCAGTTGCCAACTTGTAAAATGAAACTAAAAGGTGGCATTCCAGAAGCAAAGCAGCTAAAGTGTTTCAAGGAGGCAAGAGTAATCCACTGTGACTCCACAGATAAGATGAAGACAAATAATGTACCATCAGATTAGGTAACTTTGTGGAATTTGACAAAGAGTAGTGTTGGTTGGTGTAGTAGGAGCAAAACCCATGTTTCTCTGTACCTTTGGAGTAGATAGACTCTGAAAAGTTACTTTGTTAGTGCTTGGTTGACAGTAATGCATAAAGTGTTGAGAAATAATACCATTGCTTTTGAAAAAGACTAGACCAATTGAACTCCTACCAAGAGTATCTGTGAATTTCTGTTTTTTTTTCCCCTTCTCGTATTATCACTTAAATATTTAGGGATATTTAAGGGGGAAAAAGTTACCTTGTTATTTTCTTATTTGTATTTCTCTAATTAGTAGTAAAGGCAGGTATCTCTTCCCATGCAGTGGCCTCCTTTATTTCCCTTCTATAGACTGAGCAGTGTCCCCATCATTCCATACCAACATTTTCTTGTTTATCTTGGATGTTTTTTCCGTACATGAATTTTAGAATAAGCGTGTAAAGTAAACAAACAAACAACAAAAATAACATTGCCAATTTGATAGGCATTTCCCCAAATTTAGATTTTAAATTATGGGAAAACTGACACCTTTATACTGTATCTTCTCTTTCATTTGAGTTTACTTTATGTCCTTCAGTAAAGTTTATAATTTACCACACACACATACACACAGACACACACACACACACACTCTACATTGGGTAGATTTAGACACATAAGTGGAGAGTAATTAGGGAGCAGTGAGTTTTCTGTAAATGAAGGAGATGTATGCAGCAATTCAAAGGGATAGATACATCAAGGGATAAATTTAAAGATGGCTCATATATATGTGATTTGATCTACTGGATAACTAACATTTAGATTACCCATAAACAGCCTATGTTAAATGCAGGAACATAAGGTTAACGACAAGGACAGACCATTTCTTTTTAATAAGAGTACAGCTGTAAATACAACATGCCCTTTTACCCAAATTTCTTCTATTTCCTGAAATACATAAAACTACCTATGTGCAACGACAGAAGAGATCTTTAGTACAAGCCAAACATCTTGTGAGAGAGGTTTTCAGCTAAATACTTTTATGTTTTTGTGTTTATATCTTTCTTTCTTTCCTTCTTTCTTTTCTCTCTCTCTCTTCCTTTTTTCTTTCTCTCTCCCTTCCTTCCTTCATTCCTTCCTTCCTTCCTTCCTTCCTTCCTTCCTGCCTGCCTGCCTGCCTGCCTTCCTTCCTTCCTTCCCTCCTTCCTTATTTTTTTGTAGAGATGGGATTTTACTATGTTGCTGAGCCTGATTTCACACTCCTGGCCCCAAACAATCCTCTCGCCTCAGATTCCCAAAATACTGAGATTACAGGAATAAGCCACCATGATCAGCCATGCTTTTGTGTTTAATATAAGAAATAGATTGTACTTGTAAACATTCAACTTTATTGAAGCATAAGTTCCATTTAATATAAGTATATATTAATACTTCAATGAGTATTGAGAAATGTGTACACTCTTGTAAGCATCATTCTGATCAAAGCCTCATTCTGATCACATTATCATCACTTTCAAAAATTTCTGGTATCCCTATTCAGTCAACACTGCACAATACTCACTCCAGTTAACCATTCTTATGATTTCTATCACCAAAAGATTAGGTTTAAATGTTGTGGGACTCTATATAAATGACATCCTGTGGGATGTGCTCATGTGTGTGACTTCCTTGCCACTGTGTTGATTTGGGTATTAGAGTTTCGTTATTAGTATTGCTGAGCAGTATTTTGTTGTATGTGTATGCTACGATTTGCTTATTCATTTATCTACTGATGGACATTTGGATTGAATCAAATTTTTGCAGTTTTTGTGGAGTTCTTATGAACACCATATAAATTTTCTTGTGAGTACGCATTTTTATTCCTTTGGGTAAGTCCCTGGAAGAAGGATCTGTATGTCATACAATAAATACGTGATTAACTTTATTAACCAACTGCTCAATAGTTTTTCAAAATAGTCATAGTATCTTACCTTCCCATCAGCATTTTATGAGAATGACAGTGGTTCCACATCTTCAGAATTGTTAAAGTGGTACCCCATACAATTAGCTAGAAATATTTCCAGTCTCTAAATTTTCTAAGCTGATCTTTGTGAAATTATACATATGAAGTTGGTTTTTTGAAAGGAACGGAGTCCAATGTAAAGGATACTTACCTAATATTTTCTTGTCATAATCAACTCTGTCAATGAAAACTACCATACTAGAGAGCCTGATTATGAAGTAATGTACAATGGACTATTGTAAATGCTCTGTAAGATATTAAAAAAACAAATATTGGCTGACTATGGAACTTAAAATGGCTGCTTCCATGGATCGTCTCAAATAAAAATGCTGTGATTACAAATACTGTCATGACACCATTAATCAAGGATTAAGAAATTATTAATTACATTCAATAGTAAATCCAGGTACAACCATGAGAAGACACTTTATTATCAAAGTATTTATTTGCCAATAGACTGTTTTCTCATTTTGCTAACTAAAATTATTTTCTTACAGGGAAAGCTTGTTTTTTTTAACCATAAAAATATAATTTTTTTCCATTGATACTCATTTGTGCTTGGAGTGTATTTGTATAAATGGCTTCATTTATGAATTTCTTTTTTTTTTTTTTCAAAGAAAGTAAAGCAGTTGCTGTTGAATGCCATGTTACATATCACTCTGGCCCACCTTTGAGTTTATCTGCAGCTACAACTGAGAGTTCCTATTAAAGCCGGTTGCTTTCACACTGAGGTCTGTTTGCTTCAATTGCGAGAGTTCTCTTGTTTATCTCTGCAATCAAGGGTAATCTTCAATTAAGAAAGGATGTGGGTTGATGAATAAACACCCAACTGGGACTATTCTGAAGCATGTTCTACTTGATTACTCAGAGGATTCCAGGAAGACTGAGCCACACTTGCTTCCTGTGATGATCTGCTCCTTGACATTGACTTCCATTGTGTGGCTTTCCTCTTTTCCCTGTTTCACTTCTCTTGTTCCTTTACTTGTGCTTCCTGGCATCATCTCTGAAAAATATGACTTGTCTCATTATCTATTTCTGTGAGAAGTCACACCAAGAACAAAAACTTATGTGATAATAAAGGTCTTATTCATTCACTCATTCAACAAAGACTTATTACATCCTTATATTCTCCCAGGTATTGTGAATGAGTGAGACATGTTGCTTGGTTCTCAGATAGCTAACAATTTACTGGTGAAGACTGACATTGAGCAAGTGGTTATAAATATATAGAGACAAGTGCTATAAAGACTAAAATGTCAACTCTGTGAGGGCAGGGCTTTCATCTGTATAGTTCTACTCCCCTTCCCCCAGGCATTACCGTATTTCCAATGCCAGAAAAATTTCCTGACATAGTAGTTGCAAAAAAATGAATGAATGCTAAGGTTTAAACTAGAAACCTTTAGCAATTACAAAGGAATCACTACAAGTAAAGGAGAGTGGAAAAACTATACAAAATGTAAGTTTAATTTTCTTACTGGGTAGCTACAGGCAGAAAAACACTAACAAATAAAAAGAATTAGTAGACCCATTAGAGCATAGAGCCAAAGGTTCCTTGGATGGACATCATTACCTTCTAAATTTAGGGACACCAAGCTACAGACTCTTATAAAATATCACATATAATATGCCCCTGCATTGGTTTGCCAGGGCTGCTGTTACAAAGTACCACAATCCGAGTGGCTCAAACAACATAATTTTTTGACTCACAGTTTTGGGGGATAAAAGTCCAAGATCAAGGTGCTGGCAGTGCCAAGTTCTATCTTAGGGCACTAGGGAAAGATATGTCTCAGGCCTCTTTCCTGACTTCTGGTGTCTAGCTGACCATATTTGGCATTCCTTGGCTTGTAGATGGATCACTCAGGTCTTTATGATCATGTTCAGATGAAGTTCTCCCTGCATGCATGTCTATCTCCAGATGTCCTCTTTTTTTTTTTTTCCCATTTATTTATTTTATTGCATTTTACATTTTGGGGTACATGTGAAGAACATGCAAAATTGTTGCATAGGAACACATGTGGCAGTGTGATTTGCTGCCTTCCTCCCCATCACCTACATCTGGCATTTCTCCCCTTGCTATCTCTCCCCAGCTTCCCACCCCCCACCCTCCCTCCCCTATTTCCCCCCAACTGACCCCAGTGTGTAGTGCTCCCCTCCCTGTGTCCATGTGTTCTCATTGTTCAACACCCGCCTATGAGTGAGAACATGCGGTGTTTGATCTTCTGCTCTTCTGTCAGTTTGCTGAGAATGATGGTTTCCAGGTTCATCCATGTCCCTACAAAGGACCCAAACTCATCGTTTCTGATGGCTGCATAATATTCCGTGGTGTATATGAACACTGATCATATTAAATTTGAGGATCATCCTACTCCAAATAACCTCATCCTAACTACTTACATCTGCAACAATTCTATTTTCAAACAGGGCCACATGTTACAGTACTGTGGGTTAGAACTTCAACCTGTGAATTTTTATGTGAACAATTCAAGATACAACACCCATCTTTCTTCAGCCTTGGAGCTGAATGGAGAGAAGTCTCTAGAATATAGTATACAGCAGGTGAGACTCACCAATAAAGATGCTATTACTTTAGCTTTTCACAATGACAGGTATGGCTTGAAGTTATCCCTTTCATATTATTGCATGTAATAACAATAGATTATAATTACCTTTGCATAGTCAGATTCACTAGTAGCTTATTGTTTAGTGTAAGACAATGCACATACTAAAGATAACCACATCAATTTCTTTCTAAATAATCCACTACTCAAAAATCCAGATGTTTGAGTAACAATAAATTTATTAGGCAAGGTTTTTAAAAATAATTTGCTCAATCTTAGTATTTTTTTCCGTTATTATAAATCTAAACTTTGTTAAAGTCCACACTTTATAAACCAAATTAATTATTCCTTTCTATGTCCCCTGCAATGTCTAAATAAAATATTTTTTTTCATTTTAATATATTTTGATCTATATTTTATTACTTCCATAGAATTTTAGAAATACTATTTATTGACTTATTTTTTTCAATAAAACCTAAGTGGATGTTAGGAAAGAAGTAGAAAGGTCAATCAGGTACAAACTAGAAATACTATAGTCATTTTTTTCCAGATATTTAAATAATTAATAAATAATAAATGCATATTAAAACATTAGAGGTAAAATACTGTAATATAAATAGACATAAATAGCTGAAGTGTTTTTGTTAATGATTACCAAATATCTTAGCACATTTAATAATGCCAGTCAAAACCAAAATAAGCTCTGTAACATAAATGTGATTCTTTAATGTCAAATATAAGTGTGGAAGCTGAATTATAAATTTAATCGCAGATAAGAAGCTAAGTATGTTTATTGTAACATTCTTTTTCAAACAATCCATTTTCTTAGCTGATAAGCCATACCTCACAACATGAATAATATAATTAACAAAGATTTTTGGCAGCTGATTAGCAGATATATATGCAGTTTGTTTTTGCCTCTTGAGTTTCAGGCTATTGTTAAGTTATGCTTATTTAAAGAAGAAAATACCTTGTCACAAGGATGCCCAACAAAACAGCAATCCATCATACAGAATTTACTTCAGAAATTACCATGTCCCAGAGCACGATTTCTCTGTGACCTAGAATTAATTGAAGAATTGATGCAAGAATCATCATAAATACAAAAAGTGACAGAAACTGATCTTTTTGAGGTCAACAGAGTTTTGATGAAGGAGGCTGTGATGTCGTCCAAAGGGCAATATCCAGACTAAAGGTCTCCCAGTTTTGTTCTCTGTTTGATCTTTTGATCTCTACTCAATGTTTCAATGTCATTACCCAAGAGTAAGAAAGAAAGGTCATTTTTTCCTTTAAATTCTGAGCTCTTTAACTTCAGTATGTTTTTATTTACCCCTTTTTTTTTTTGGTTTCAATTTGTCTCACCTGGTCTTTGGTAGTCCAAAATCCTTAGGCTGGCAATAATGTACAAAGAATTTGCTCTAGAAGAACGAAGTCCAACAGTGTGTCACAGTCATTAAAACATTTATGGACTTTGTAGCCACGTGAAACTTGCCTCTGTTCCCAATTCTATTTCTATTTCACTAGGTGATTAAATCAATTGCTTAACTTTCTTCAGTGTTGATAAAAGTATCATGAAATAACAATACTCTTTCCTTTTGAACATTTTTTTTTTTCTGTGCAATAGTAATCCTCATCATTGTCAGATGTGTGCTTTGGGCTTACGAGGAAAAAGCTCGTGATTCTGGTAATTGGAAAAAGAAAAGCATTAATATTTTTCCTCGTATTAAACCATACATAGGTGATTTTAATAGCAGCCACAGTACTCTAGTTTCATGTCTCATTTGCAAATAAATGTTGCTAAATGAGAATACTACATGAACTGAAATTTTGGAAGTTATGTTAACAATCTATCTGTAATGTATGACTTTAATTCCTGTGGTGTAGTCAGAAAAGACCATGGACCTCATCTGTTGTCTAGTTTCCAGTTATATCACTGAAGAACTGAAATAGATTGATGGGAAAAGGCAGAAATTAGGAAACACTAATGTTAAGTGAAGGAGTATATGGTTAGGAAACAATAAGTGTTTCTCTGCTGAATAATGAGGGATGGAAAGTAGCTCTAATTGCACCCTTCTCTGAACTGCAAAGGCCAAGTGCTGCTCATCCTAAACACGGGCCATGTCCGACACATCCCTGTAACTCTGTGATCTTACTATATAATAATTGTTTATAGGTTTATTCCCAGTAGAAGTTATGCATGTGCAGGCAGGCTTATCTCAATAAAATATCTGTTTTATTGTGACAACAAAATATTAACTCATGTCTCCTATAGCTTTAAAAAGTCAGCTTTTTTTTATATATATTTTTTTATATATATTTTTTATATATATATGTTGAGGAGCATGCTTGCATCAATTATATATGTTACCTTTTTCACTGATGAATTTTATGTTTAGACATCTTGATAAATAACAAAATATTTGAATATATATATTTTTCTGTTTCAAGAAGTTTAATTTATAGACCTAGCAGAGTGCCTGATAAAGTGATGTCAAATGATGACAAAACTAGGGAGATAGATACCAAAGTAGGACTGGGGACAATTTGTGAAATAAGATGAAATCAAATTTTATATAGAATATTTTGGGGTACACAGAAAATGATCAATAAATGTGATTAGGGTCTTCTACCTCACAATCTAATTTGAATAAAATGTCTAAATTCTTCTAGTAGCCACAGATATCTACCTAAATATTGCTTAATATAAAAATCAAAAATATAATGTAGTGCTTTGCACTAAAGCATTCAAGAAATGTCTTTCAATTGATTTGACATGGATATATGACAAGAAATAATGAATGAATGAATTCTGCCATAGTTTCAATATGTCCCCCAAAATGCATGCATTGGAAACTTAATCCACAATACTACGAGTCTTGGGAGGTGAGACTTTAAGAGATGATGTTATCCCCACAGTGGGTTAGTTATTGCAGAAGTGGGTTCCTGATGAGTGCAGCCACTATTTGCCTTGCAACATGCTCTCTTGGCCTTGTGCCTTCCACCATGGAATATTGCAGCAAGAAGGACCTTGCCAAAATGTTAACCCATTGACCTTGGACTTGCCAGCCTCCAGAGCTATGAAACAAATACATATTTTTTATCATAAATGACCAAGTCTTACTTTGTTATAGCCACACAAAATGAATTAAGTCAATTCATTGTTCCATAGGCAAAAACAAGTAGCCTTTATGATTCCTTTACTTATGAGTTCAGATTATAATGCCTGAAGTCACATAACTGCTAAAAGTTGTTTTTAAAACTCAATACTGTTTATTTAAAATGCTCTAATTTATTTTAGATAATATTTTTAACATTCCTGATTTGGAATGAGAAAAATAACATTTTCTGTGTGATGGTCCTTTCATGAATTTTTGTAGAAACTCCTACTTGAACTTTCTCTTAATATTCTCTTATGTTTCTCTCTATGGAACTATTCTTCTGAAGA